GAAGAATTTGCTTCAGGTCTCGCATGAAGAGATAATGGTCCAATATATTATCATCTAAGCAATAATAGTTCAAGTCTCGCAGTTCAGATATATACTGAGTTATATGCTGGGCTGATGAGAATTAAGGCTTTGTATATAGTAATAAAACTAGTGATCTAGAGATGAATAGATTGGTGTATGGAGCGCAATATTTTCCTGCCACAGATTAGAGCAGGGATACTAATCCATAAAAAGATACCATTAAATCTCTCTTTTCACATGTTATGCATGGAGAGCTATAATGTGTACAGTTTTACAGGCAAATGCATGAAAAGAATAAGGACCTTTCCTAACATCAAAAAGCTCCTCTCTTAGGCAAAGATTTGTTTTACCTTAGAAGAAAACAGAACTAAAATTTAGCTAAAATTCCTATATGTGACAGACCATGCCAGATTGTATTAGTGTTTATTTCAGTGGCATTTCCCCTGTTCCTATAGATTTGCATTTGACTATGCTTTTAAAGAGCATAGTTGTCAGATACTGCAGAAGGCAAATAAAAATGTGTATCTGTATTTGGCCCAGCAACTAAAATAAAAATTCCAAATGAAGTTTATATATTGAAGTAGCTTTTAAAAAATTATTTGCTTAATATGAATGAATTGCATGACTGCAACCAGTTTAGCAGTACCATTAATCAGGTCTTTTGTCTTGCTAATATAAATCAGTCAATAACAACAGATGGGCTGTACACTTTATTATGTGAAAATAAAGATGAATGTGACATACTGCAGAAGTAAACTTGCAGCTCAAAGTTACTGAGCACAGAAGGGGATTTGTTACAACAGGGGAGAACAATGTGTGTCTTGTGTTTGTGTTTGATCAAGGTTGTGAGGGGAGCTTGCAGCACATGACATTGGCATAATGATTGGAAATCAAGTATGTGAATTTTTAGTGTTTGTTTGTATCTACACTTCCAGATCACTCCCAATTGGTTTAATTAGCCTTTTTCCTCCAGACAAAAGAAAAAAAAGTCGAACTACTTAGAAGAGTTAAATAGGAGAGTTATAAAGTTTGCTGCTTTGTTGCACTATTGGGAGATGAGCATTTGAAATAACCGGTGATAACCCGTCAGAAAGCTGCAGATCAAAGCCTCAGGCAAGATTTATCACCTCATACAGCAATGGAGCACACCATGAGAGGCAACTCCCATCCAAATTATAGAAACTGGCTTAACAGGCCACATGGTGATAACAAAATCATCCCTGAAAAATCTAAGTCTGAGTTTTTTATGGAGAATGACCTGTGTGTAAATAGAGCTGGTCAGGAGAAACTGATGGAAGTGTTTATTTGGTGGTTAGAAACTGTGTCCTCATGAAAACACAGATCCATTAGATTGCTTTGGTGTTACCAGGTCTTGTTCTCTAGAGAACTGCAAAAAATCCCAGCACAGTCAAATGTCCCATATTGACATTTTCTGTGTCGGATTTTTAGGAATATTTTGCTATATAATTACACTAACATTATAATTATGCATGCATGTTGCTGCAAGTGTTACAATGAAAGCACAACATCTTATCACTGTAATTCAGAAAATGAAGTGCAAGACTTGGCTTCAAGATGTGTGTTAGGGTTGATGGTTCAAAACCCTGTCCCAGATCAGCAGCTGGATTGGTTGACTGTCCTAAGCCATGACACAGCTGTACCTGGTGTGATATGCAAGCCGTCATGAGGGGATTTAAGGTTCTTCCTCCTTAAAAGATTCTCATCCTGAGAAGCAAGTGTCACAGCCTGGCACAGGGGAACTGGGGCTTCACACCCTCTCTACCTGTAAACCACCATCCTGCCACTTCAGCTGGTGTGCCTGGGTGAGAGGGCAGGGGTGCTTTGTCTCCCTGCACACCCAACCCCGTCTCTTTGGGGGATGCAGGAAACAACAAGTGACTTACTGCTGTGGGTCAGTCACAGAGGTTGATTAAGCCACCAGTGACCTTTCAGCAGTGAAAAGCAGCAGCAAGGTTCCCTCAATGCTAATGGAGGTAGACTAGCTTTGCAGTGGGATTGCTATTTTTTCTGCCAAACGCAGTCATGGTGATATTCTATATGTTTCTCTTGAGAAACTGCTCTATAAAAACCAGCATTGTTGCTATTAACAGCAGCAGTACGAGGGCAAGGATGGAACGAGCATTCTCCAGTTCAAAAAGCAAAAATCTTTCTTAGCTACTATCTTAATTTTTTTTTCTGGAAGTGGCGGTTTTAATGCCAGTTTCCAGGGACATGGCAGCCTTTGAGCACTATTTGTGTGACAGTTTGTGAATGGTTTCCATCTATATCCCTAACATTTAAGAGCGGTTCAGATGCCTCTTGATAGAAATGAGAAAGAGTGTGGAAAAATAAAGCTGAGCTTTATTATTGCTCAAGAAGAGTAAGGAGGAATCATAGCAAGAAGGCAGTAAGAAAACAGGCTTGTACCTGACTGTGGGATGCCAGGTTGGTGGAGAGAAGCAGCTATCACCAAAATCAAAATGTGAGACCAGATCAGAATGTACTGGGCAGTACTTTGAATACATACAAATAATATTTATAGGCAGTTACCTTCAGGAGGAAAAGCCAAACCCACACCTGTTTATCAGGCTGATTAAAGAAATAATTTTGAAAACCTTTTTTTTTCTTTCTTGCAGCTTGCTGATTCCCACCTTTTAGACTTTCTAGTTATCTTTGTTAAGGTGCAGTTAATTGGTCAGGCATTGTAGTTATTGCCTTTGATAATGTGCAGAAATTTAGTGGTGAAAATAAATACATTTGTTCTTCCAGTCACCAGAAATTAGTGAAGCAATACTTGTTTAATTATAAAACATATGTGTGCTTTGTTAGTTTCCATCTGTCTGGTGCTGATTTGCAATTAAATGACCAGAAGAAAAAGATATGTCCTGTGGCAATTTAGGGGAAATGATTCATCTCTAATGTTTGTGTCGTGGATGTCTATGGAGCAGCATGTAGGAGAGGGAAAGCGGGGATGTGTGCATGGAAGGGGATGAGGAATGCTAAAAAGCCTCTTGATTCAGTTCAGACATGTTTCATTGTCATGAAACCAAATGAGGACTCCCATTAAGTAACTGTAACTCGTCTTGCTTTTTGGATAAAAATGGGGGGCAAAATGGACCAAGGAAGAAATACCTAATGAGGAGAGGAAATAGGATTGCACAAGAAGGAGGTTGGTGTGGTCAGAGTGAAAAGGAAACTGCAGAAATAAAAGGAAGCATGGGAAAGTGATAAAAAATTAAATTTAATTTGAGTATCTGGAAATGATTAATTGGAGATGGAAATGTAAGTGTTATAGTGTGTCACAGATTTTCCCTTTGCTAGAAGAATGTCAGGCCTTATTTATTGGCCCTTTTTTCTAGCTTTGAACCAGTTCACTTCTATTAACTCTCAGGGAGTGATGCAGTAATGAGTCAGGCCTAATACTCCCTATAAAATGAGACACAAAGAAGGACAGAAGTATTTTTAAATTAATGTGAAGGGGGGGTTGGAAATAAAAAAGAAATCAAATGGTGAACATATATTCTCTTCATAAACAGTTTTTGGAGGTTACAAAATGGTTTGCTCTGTAAGGTATTCCCATCACTGATAAAGACATGCACTTTACCTTCATACAGCTTCATGGATGGGTACCAAATTACCTTCTCCCCATCTCTCCTTCATCTGTCCCTGTTCCTTTTTGTCTTTCTGAAAAGTGGTATCTGGAAGGAGAGTCGTGCCCCTTGTCATTCTGTACACGGCCTGCACAGGGAGGTCTCAGTTTCAGGGAGGGAGCTGTCTGACATTCCATCTTCATGAAGACTGGCAGGGAGGAGATAGCCAGCCAGTATTTTCAGTTGGATGTTCTGCAGCATTTTATTGATCAGCATCAGCATCCATCACTAGGTATAATGACAACAGTGTCAGAGGCAGAAAGGGGAGATTGAGGGAGGCCTTCAGAAGTGCCAGCTCACTGCTGGTGTGTCTGTCAGGAGTTGGTGCCCCCCAGCACTTTGCTGCTCAGAGCCTCTTGGATGTTCTGTGCTCTGATGGCAGGTGGGGAGGGAGATGGGGAGAGGGCCATTCTCAGCTGAACTTGGTGCTTTCTGATGTGGCAGACTTCCTCTGCACAAAGGGGCAGAGGAGTTGTTAAAGAGGATTTGTGAAGGGGGAGGGGGAAAGGGACGTATGCATGTTTGGTGTTTTTAGTCTTGCATCTGCACGATGGATTCTTTTCCTCCTTCTCCAGACTTCTTTAATTAACTTAATTCTTTGCCAGCAGCACCAGAGAGGTGCTGAGGTTCCTTGTGTCAATAGCATGTGTCCGTGTTTGCCCAAAATGTCACAATTTCACAGCTGCCCTCCCCCCTGTCCCAGCTCCCATGCCCTCTCCATAGCAAGGGCTGCACAGACCAATGTACAACTGACAGACTAAATAAAGCATAGCTTGGCACCTTCATTAGCAGTCTTAGCAGGAGAGTCAGAGTACAGACAAAGAGGTCCAGGCTGGACTTACATTTAGTCTTTTGCCCTCAGCAGATCTCAAATTGCTCATCTGAAACAAAAGGTACTGTTTCCTATTTGGACCAGCCTCAGCTGGCGGTAGCTATCGCACGCACCTGATTACACAGTGCAATAAGTCACTATTGAAAATGTGACCTTGAAGTCTCTGAAAGTTTCTATTATTTTACTCAGTGGTTTTGCAGGCAACTCTACCAAGCACTAACACAAAGCTTTATTGCTTGTATTGCCAATGATGGTAGCAAAGGACTGATCCCAGACTGTGAATGTGCACATCTCTGTCACATTACGGAGAGGGAAGAATGCTCAGGATGTAAAGAAGAGTTTCTTCCAGTCTGGAAACAGCAGTGCATCTAAGCCTCAGTTTAGGAATGCTCCTAAGATAACATTTTATTCAAAAAGTATGCACCTTTTTCAATTTTCATGAAATTTTTGCAAGTGTCTGCCAGCTGAATTTTGGTTCTTTCATTTTTCCTTTACAGATGATGACTTTTTTCATGAGCTTCCAGAAACTTTTCCATCTGATCCTCCAGAGCCATTGCCCCACTTCCTCATTGAACCCGAAGAGGCTTACATTGTGAAGAACAAGCCTGTGAATCTGTACTGCAAAGCAAGCCCAGCCACTCAGATCTATTTTAAGTGCAACAGTGAGTGGGTTCATCAGAAGGATCATGTGGTGGACGAGAGAGTAGATGAAACCTCTGGTGAGTTTGTGTTATGTTGTGAAGGGATGAGAATGACCACCATTAATATCAAACCCACTCTTGTAATCTAGCAGCCCTTTCATATGGCAGCTGCTTTTCTTTACTCATGTTACAGCTGTGAATTCTGTATTTGGCATTACAAAACATTCCTGTCGTGGCACAGGCCTTCATCCAGGTCAGCTAGTGCAACAAGAGTGTAGAGCACCCTGACCAAATCTGAAACCAGAAAAACAGGACAACCATGCACAAAAGAAATGAAATTCCTTTTCTTCAGACAGGTCTACTCCCAGTTCACTTCCCCAGTGTCACAAATTCACAGTGGTTGCACTGTGTTATTGTCACAGACTGAGAACCATTCTCCCCAAAGTGTCAAGGAGCAATTGGGTTGTTACTAGAATGATGTTTTCTTGGGGAGGTATGAGGAAAAAAGGAGAAATTTAATCAGTTTTCAGCAAGAAAGAAGGAGAAAGCACACTTGGGCACACTTTAGAGCACTATTGATCCAGAGCAAGCACCTGGCTGTTATTCATTGCACTTCTCTGCCTGCTCTGTAGAGCCTGTAAGAAGGACAACTACAGTATCTTAGCATCCTTCCTCAGTCAATACCAGAAATCCCACTGACATTCATGGAAGTAAAACTGGATCCTCACAGCACAGAAAAAAAAAAAAAAAAAGAGGGGGGGTTGTGGAGTTTAAAAACTTGAGCAATAAAGCAGTGTTTGGGAAGACTGGTAATCAATAGTCTGAGACACATGCAAGGAGAGAAGCAGGACTTACTGCTGTTTTGATGGCTCTGAGAAATAACTGGATACCAAGCAAGTAGGTACTTTCCATTTGGGAATTACACCACCACTTGGTCTAATTACTTAGAAAAATAACTCCACCAGATGTCTTGGAAGTCTCTTGTGAACCAGGTTTTATTTGTTTCAGCTCATTTATTTGCACAAAGATCAAAAGCATAAGCTTTTCTTGGTACTCTCACTTGAAAAAGAGTAGGTTGGGGTAGGAAGAAAGGCTGGAGGAAAAAAGTCTGTATTAGACTTGAGACCTGTGTATTCATTTGTAAAAATTGGCTTTTCCACAAGTTGACTGCAGGAGAAACACTTTAAAAAAATTTATGTTGCTTAGTACATCTTCACTGTTTTTCATTCCATGGGATCCCAAGGGAATGAAGATGGGCAAACAGAAGGACAGCTATGACTTAAAGCTTATTTTATTTTCATAGCTTATGACAGCTATGAAAAAAAGCTTAATTTTTAAAGTTTTCATGAACATCACAATTTAGAAAAATGAAAGTTTTTCACTACAAGTGAAATATTCATTCTTTTTTGTCAAAAATCTCATTGTGGGAAAACTTGGTGATGTTATAAAGGAAATTGCATTCTACAAGTGTAAAAGGCAAATCTTTAAAAGAGAAACATCAAAATATTTCAGAGGACAGATATTTTGCATAATAAACAACAGCAATTATATGCAAATGAGAGCCATTATCAATTAAAGATTAATACCATCTACTGGAGTTCAGTGGGGGGGAGAGGTGTCAAAAGCTGTATATATGTATATATGTCAGATTATTAGCACAAGAGCCACAAACTTAGTCATGCTAATAGCTTGTTAAAATGAAACTGTCATCAAAATCCAAATTTGTCAGTCAGCCTGGTTGTTGCCAGAATATTGGTTAATGCATGTCACAGCTTCAGTGTTCGTTCACCTTCCTGTAGGCAGATTTGGAATCTAATACTCCTAGCACATAAGTGGCAAAGAAATAGGTAAATAATTTAATTAAGGTTGTGATAAAACAGTATTTTCTTTAAATCAATGGAAACTCAGGAAAATATATTCACTGCAGATTAAGCTGCAGAAAAAAAATTGCAGGAGACAGTGACTGTGAGGGTTCATTCCAGCACCCGAAGAAGGAGATATCAGCTTGGCAGCTTGCACCAGTCAGGCTGGCAAAGCCCTTGGACTCTCACTTTTGAGACTATTTTGGTTTCTTTTGCTATTTTTGACTAGATAGTGCAGTTGTAACCTCGGGCACAGAAGTAATGACTGAGCTGCTCAGAGGGTGACATAAGGATCCCTCTAGGTCCAAAGCTACACTGCTGCTGCCTCCTGACTTGCGGTTAGAGAGGCAGGAGAAACTGCCCACAAAGCAGATTAGGTCTAGACTTCTCTGGGGCTCAAAGGGATCTCACTCACACAGTGTTTCTGCAGGGTCAGTCGTGTAATCCCAGCAACTGAAAACTGTGTACATTCTTCTTTCCTGGTATTTTACTCTTCCTAACATCTGTTCTGCCTGCTTATGAAAGGAGGACCATGCTGAGGAGATATTCTGCTGTTGGTTTTGAACCAGGCTTTCAATTCTTTACATAGACAAGCAAAGCAAAGCAAAACAAGGCAAACAGACAATAAAATATGAGAGGAAAAGAATAAAGGTCACTTGTGCTTTCTTTTCTAAAGGACAAGTAATCAGGAAGAAAGGGATCTAACGTACAGGTGTGATGCTAGCAGTACATCACCTTGGGATTGTAAATGATGCATGAAAGAGAGAAATAGGTTTTGATTTGCAAAAGATTATGTGTTCATGGACTTTGAGCCTGTGCCCAGGAATGAAATCTATGTAGAGATGATTAACTCTTCTTATAAGGAAAATTTGTTTCTGTCATTGAGATGACCAGAGAAAACAGCATAGCAATAGCAATGGCACACAACATGGAATTAGAGTGCAGCCAAGCTCTCATTGAAGAGATACCTAGATAGAAATTTGTATGTGTTAACAAGGTTAATTTTTAAGCAAGGAAAAGAAATATTAATATAATTTTTCTCTGTATATTTTTTTCTTTGTGAAAGAGAGAAGATACAGAATGAGAGCAGTAGTTATATATACTTTGCACTGTCGGGTATTTTAAACAGTGGGTAAAGCATTGCTGTAAAGAACATGCTCGGGGACTCTGTGGGAGTTGTTGCCTTCTGGTTGGAGAGGATGAGAGCTGTAATAGTGACAGAGTGTTCTAGTACCACTTTATTTAATTAAATTAGCCTGAAGAGAGAGCAAAATATTTTATACTGATCGAGTCTAAGAAACCTGAGGCTGTACACAGAAGATCATTACATTCTGTTTTTAAATCCTGAGACTCACTGGAATTTTTCTTCTTTATGGAAGAAGCTAAGCGTTTTCATAAAGAAGTCAAATGGATGCATTGGAAATGTCTAGTGCACACCTTTGACTCTTTCATTTCCTATATATATGAAATACAAGGCAGGGCATTGGTTTTTTTATGCCTTTATGTCTGAATATTTTCCCATTAATGCAGAAAAGAATAAGAACACTGGTTTTGAAAAACAGAGATGAGAGTTCTTTCGAGGAAACACATTTGATTTTATGGCTGACTATCATAAAAGATAACAGCAACAGAAATAAAAGGAGCCCTGTAGAACTGATGCTTTTGGGGGCAAGAAAATTCCATTGTTACAGGGCAGCAAGTTCAGTAGCATCAATAATTGTTAGAACAGTTTCTGCACATTTTACAAATTACTGTATCTCTGAAAATGACTGTGGAAAAGATTTTTTTACAATGAGGATGGCAAACACTGAACCAGGTTGTTCAGAGAGGCAATGGATGCCCCATCCCTGGAAACATTCAAGGTCAGGCTGGATGGGGCTCTGAGCAACCTGATCTAGCTGAAGATGTCTCTGCTCATTGTAGGGAATTTGGACTAGATGGCTTTAAAGCTCCCTTCAAATCCACACTATTCTGTGATTCCATTATTTTATTTTGCATGTGTGCTTTTATGGAGAAATATTTTCCAAGATACACACACTAGTTCTGCAGTGGTGGGAGAATTGTGGTCATGTAGAAAATCGGTGTCTTGCACTCCTTTCATTTGTCCAGAGGGATTAAATGCTGCTATATCAAACCTCATATGCCAGTGATGTACAAAAGAAAAGCAGAAAAAGATCTGGACCTTTTTTTTGTCTTTCAAGTTTGGATATGCATTGTAATATTTTCTCCTTGACTATTAAGGTGAAATGATCTATAAACCCACTCTTGCCCTCTGCAATGCTAGGGGCATGTTTTTCTCTCTCCTTCAAGCAAAGAGAAAACATTTGTGATTCTTTAAGTGCTCATTAAATAGACTTATTGGACAATTCAGCCAGCATTATTGTTTGCCTACACTGTCTGTTTTCTTTTGCTGGGATCGAGAGGAGGGCTTGGGGAGTTTGCTGAGGACCCCCTGCTTTTGTCCGATTAGGAGAGTTTATCAAACTGCACTTGGAGTGGACAAAAATGCACTTCTTTTCAGAGAGAAACCGGACTTCTTTTTTTTCCAGTTTCTTTACATAGCCACCACTATGCTTATCTCCAAGCGTTATCCAACACTCATCTCCCACCATTACCTTTCCCAATTAGTAAAGTATTTTTGGATGACTTGCAGATTCAATGAAAGGAGACTGAGCTTTTGATGTAGGGTCAGCATTGATCCTACAAATCAGTGTAGCAATGTACCTAAGGTAACAAAATGGGAGTTTGTTACCTTAAGCAACAGGTTTGGCAGCCTCTCGAGGGAGTATATACCCAGCTAGCCAAGTCTTTCATATATCAGATCACCCTCTCAACAGAAAGATCAAGGATTGACATCTGCTCTTTTGCCTTTAAAACAGCTCTTACAAGATCCTGCAGCCAAGACAGCAGTGGGGAAACCTTCACATTCACTGTGCTCTTCTGGCACCATGTAGAGAGGCAGGAAAATCACTTCCAGCACAAAATGCTCTGTTGCTTCATCTTCCTCTCTGTGTGTACATCTCATGAAAGCCATTTATTTTGGTGTTTGTCACACCACATATTAGAAGGCTGCCTAGCCCTAGCGGTAAAAGTCCATTATTTAAACTGGGACTTCTGATTTTACAGCAGAGGTCATCATACAGCCTCTCATTTTGAGAGGTTACATTAATTTGTCATAGTACTTTTTATAAAAAAGAAAAGTTATTTTTTCTTAGT